TCTCTCTCTCTCTTTCAGTAGTTTCCTTTATATGCATCAAGTTATATGTCACTACTTTCTGAATTTTCAATATTTTAAGGCTAAAATTGACTTTCTTAACCAGTCTCACATATCTTTCAATCATTTTCAAGACGTCCAAGTTTAGCTGTATCAAATAGTTTTATTTTTGGGACTAAAAGATTATCTTATAAACATTTCTATGTGTATTTGAGTAACTTCTTTGGCGTATTCTCTCTTCAGTTTTTCTCGAGCCTATTTGTGTCCCTTTTTTGTAATATCCTTTGCATTTTAGCTTTAACAATTTGTGCATTTACCCGTGCAGTATGGCTCCGTATTAATCCCATTCCCTTGTTTCATTTTGTTGATTTCGTTAGGCATTGACACTCATGATACCATACTTTTCTGACTACAACCTGGTGCATGTTCTTTATAAAATAAGAGGCTATAATAGTTAGCAATTATCCTCCAGTGATATAGACCTGCATTCAACATATGCCTAAACTCCAAACCCCCTGTTAACATAGCCAAACCAAGACTACAGCATAATACATGTGATTTTTATAAGGTATGGTCTGTATCCCTCTAAAAATGATAGAAGCAGAGAGTTACTCGTTCTATTTTTTGTGTTACTCACTTGTTTGTCAACCAGCCAATATTTTTTATTCGGACATGGTTATGCCTTGTTTCATTTTGGTATGTCATTGTTTATTATTATTTTTTATTTTTTTTTTCATTTCTTTTTGTAGGCTGAAGGAACAAAGTTCAACGACATTGACTTGTCTGGAGGGGAATTTGCTGAGTACGACGAGAAGGGGGAATGCCCTGTCATGATCTCCAACCTTCGTGCAAAATTCGATGTAGTGAAGTAGCTCTTGACTTCTAATTTTTAACCTAAAAATAACTACGACTGGTGAGTGAAGTGCGAACTAACTGCTTATGTTTACATGTAAAAAGTTGGTGGCTTTTATGACCAGTGCAAACTCTTTAACTACTGTGTGTTGCACTGTTGGGGTTCACTAGCAATGGTACTTGAGACTTAATAGGTCGCTTGGTGATTCTTTCCGAGCATGGTAGTTTGTACGAATGGGAATATATTGATTGCCTTAATAAATTCGTGGCCTATGTGGACAATCCTGAAAGATTGGTTGTCTGCGCAAATGAAAAATGACATGGATATCTCTTTCTGAGACATACGCACAAACATGATCATTGGAAGCCATGAAACTTTGTCCCAAAACCTTCTGGAAAAATTATAATAACGACGATGAAAAATGTAGCTTTTTTTTTCAAACATTAGAAAATTCTCATTAACTAAAAAAAGAAAAAAAAAACGAAGTATTACAATCTCACTAGCCTTTACACCAAAGACTACGGAAGAACCATACCAATGGTGGCCAAGAACGCAACTAAAACCACATACACCAAAGGCAAACACAAGAATTTGAACCTTTTAGCATACAACTGGAAACCAACTAATGCAACAAACAACCAAAGCAAGAAATACAAGCAACACACGAAAAGGAGAGAACAAATAAGACCATTGAACCTAAGAATCTAGCCTTCATGCTTCCTTCCCAAAACTGAGCTATCTGACAACAACCTGGAAGTTATGCCACTTCCGAATAGTGGCTTGCACAATAAACCTCTCCGGCTTCCAAACTTGCTGAAAAATCCAAAGATTTCGCGCTTTATAGAGCCACCATGTCGAAAGTTAGATGTGTGCCTCTTAAACCGCAGAATGATCCATGGTAGATACCCATAACCACTAGTCTCTAAAACCATGAGCAACTGCAACTGAAGAGTCCCAACTTATAGGTGACATTTTTCACACAGTCTGAGCCCTCAAACACTCAAACAACAGATGTTCCACACATTCAACCTGCTCCCCATAACAATGACATACCTAATCCACCTCCAAACTCCTTTTTATCAGATAATGCTAACTGGCAAAGTGCCAGAAAAGCATTACCACAGAAAATGTCTCAATTTTTTATTTTTTTTATCATTTAAGCTCCAACATCTTAGTTTGGCCTTTTTATCCTTCTTTCTAGAATTACTACTCTCAACTCCACCAAGACATTGAACTTACTTCAGAACAGAGGTAGAGTAAGAAGAAGCCACATGGAACTTACCATGTGTATCCAAAGTCCAAATCTACCTATCTTTCGCTTCAGGGTCCAAGGTGTTGATTTCTAAGATAACAACACAATAGTCTGATGTGAACATGCTTTGAATCAATTTAATGTTCCATCTTTACCTCTTTCAAGTAGTAGCTCCCCAACCCATCACATTTGTTGTAAGTTGTTCCATGCACTCAATTTGGGGCAATCATTAGTCAAACCAGGAACCTAAGGATCAACCAGGATTCTAGTATTAAGACCATACATGATCATCTTCCTAAAGTACTATTTATAAGAAGATAACACCCTGACCCAGCTATTACACATACAAGAGGACTCCAAATTTTTAGCATCCATCACACCCAGAGGAAAAATACATTTCCTTAAGAATTCTGCTAACAAAGAGATTGAGTTTAGTCAGCAGTAAGGATGGCAGCGGTTCGGGTTCGGATCGGATGGAACCTCAGGGCACCCAAAACCAAAACCCAAACTTAAAACCAAAACCAAAACCAAAACTGTTTCGGGTGAAAATCCTTCACCAAAACCAAAACACGCGGATACCCAAAAGCCAAACGGATACCCAAAAACCAAAAATATTATAATAAAACACCAAAGACAACAACATAAAACATGATAACTTAGAGAGTACTAGGCAACCAGTCACAAATTAGCAAGTACCAACGTACAGTACAAGCCATAAAGGTAGTAGAGTACATAGCTAAGCCAAGCCATCACGGGAGACGGGGAGAGGATAAGAGGGAGAGGAAATTTCCACTTATATAGCTAGGATTTTTGGTGGGCTTTTTGATGGGCCGTCTATTTTGGGCACCCAACGGAGCACCACGGGCGAAATATAGGATCCGCACCAAAACCGAAGACTTTCGGGTACCCGAAACCGCAAAACCGTGGGTGAAATTTGAGAACCAAAACCGAAACCGCAGAACCAAAAACCGCGGATATCCGAACCGAAACCGAACCGCTGCCATCCCTAGTCAGCAGTTTCCAAACATGTTTCAGGATGAGAGATTCATTGAAAATCTTGATGTCTTGGAAACCCCAAGCCTCATAACTCCTTAGGATAGTTAACCAATGCCAGACCTTCCAGTGTATTCCTTGTTTTTTATCAGTATCACCAGTCCACCAAAACCTAGCAGCGAGTTGGGAAATCTCCTTACAAATTCTAACATGCAAGCAAAAACAAGACATAACAAATATTAGTAGAGCATTGATCACAAACTAAATTAACACGTATTTCCATGCTTGGGAAAGAAACTTGTTTTTCCAGCTAATTGCATGTTCCTCACTGACACCCACACAAAATCAAATACCTCTTTTTTTTTTTTACAATCAATCCTCAAAGGTAGCCCAAGATACCTGGAAGATCTACACACTTTAATCTCCTCCAGACCTTGTTGCAGCTGGTTAGAGGAGTTTTTGCTAAAAAAACAAAGAGGATATATGAAGATTTTCTCTTTGGCTTATGAACTTCTGATAATCATGAAGAATTCTCAACAGCAAATTAGCATGTGCTAAATCAGCATCACAAAATATCAGAGAATCATCCACAAACAAAAGATGGGTTACAATTGTACCTCTTCTAGTAATACTCAACCCTTTAAACTCACCCTCTCAAACTACAACATCAACAAATCTAGATAGCAACTCAGAAACCAGAATAGACAAGTAAGGGGAGCTAGGATCTCTCTGCCTGAGACCCATGGAAAGGGGTTAGATAGTCAGACACTCCACCGTTCACATTAATATAAAATTATGAGGAAGAAATGCAGGCAAAGATCCATTTAATAAATATAGAGTTGAAGCCCATTTCTAACATCATTGTGTTGACACTATTCCATTCCACTCTATCATATGCCTTCATCATATCCAATTTCACTGCCATGTAGCTCTTACTCCTAGATCTATGCCTATTCAGATAATGGAAAACTTCTTGAGCTAAGATTACATTGTATAAAAGTTGTCGTCCAGGAGCATGTTTGTTTGCCAAGACAAGACAAGATTAAGGCCCTTATCTAGCGAAAATCCTGCGTTTGATAGCCATGACTACGGCTCGTTGGATTGGATGAGGCCCGAGATCAATAGTGGCCCAATCTCGCGTTTTGGTGACTACATGATCTGCCCGAGGGGGGTGAGATTCAAACTTGTCCCAACAGTAAATAAAGTGTGAATGTCGAATATGCCCCTAAAAGTTATTTTTTTGGACAATAGTGCCCTCGGTCAACGCTGAAATTACATCATAGACCACCATGTGGAGCAGCTTTTAGGTAAAAGGTAAAATACTCCTACAGGGCCTTTTTTTGAGCCATTGAAGTTTCTGTTCCCCTCTCACGCGATCTGAATTCCAGATCTGGGTGTGTCATTGCTTCTTCAGGTTAAGATCTTTGTATCTATCTCCTCCGTTTTGCCTACGCACATGGATCTGAGTGAATGTTGTATTTTTTTTCATTTTTTTATTTTATTTTCATGTTAGATTATGTTTAATTTTGGGGTTCTTGTTATTCACTTTTTGTTTTTATTTTTTATTTTTTTTGTTTTTTGTTTGTTCCCTCGATTTTTTTGCTTATCGGATTGTTCACCTGCAGGGAAAGAAAAAGGGTGTGTCTTCCGCATTTTCCACATCTGAGCGATTTTCTTCCCAACACGGTAATAAACTGTGTGCTTTCATAAATCTGGACTTCGGCTGTATGATTTTTATTGATGTGTTGGCGGACTATGTATATTGTGTTATGTTGACCTGATTGATTGCGTTTAAGAGTTTACGGTGCGAAATACTTGAAAACGGTTTATTATAAGTACGCATTTAACACTGCATATTTATTGGCAATTTGTTGTAGCCATGGACATTGACATGGAAGAAGTTGCAGTTCTTGTCATCGTTGAGGATATAATGAATACATTGACTGATATAGGATATTATACTAGACCCGGTTTATCGGATAAAACGAATACATATTGGAAGATAAGCCCACGTGCGGACAAAATACATATAGCATCGCGATATGGGCCAAGCCCAACTTGGGCCCAAAAGGTACACTTCCCCTATAAAAAGGGGCTAAGGTATCTCTTATTCTCATTCTCTCCTCATTTATTTACTACACACTATCTCTCTCTTGATGGGGGCACTGACTTAAGCATCGGAGGCCCGACGCCGGGGCCACCCCCGGCGTTGGGTTCTGCAGGTACGGAGGCCGGTTCGAGTTGAAGGAGCCCGGGTGAACTATATTCACTTCATTGGCGCCGTCTGTGGGACCCGTAAAAAAAGTCAAGCGGAGTTCCGACTGAAAAAATTCGACAATCTCTCCGCTTGACTTTTTTTACGGGTCCCACAGACGGCGCCAATGAAGTGAATATAGTTCACCCGGGCTCCTTCAACTCGAACCGACCTCCGTACCTGCAGAACCCAACGCCGGGGGTGGCCCCGGCGTCGGGCCTCCGATGCTTAAGTCAGTGCCCCCATCAAGAGAGAGATAGTGTGTAGTAAATAAATGAGGAGAGAATGAGAATAAGAGATACCTTACCCCCTTTTTATAGGGGAAGTGTACCTTTTGGGCCCAAGTTGGGCGTGGCCCATATCGCGATGCTATATGTATTTTGTCCGCACGTGGGCTTATCTTCCAATATGTATTCGTTTTATCCGATAAACCGGGTCTAGTATAATATCCTATATCAAGCGGGTGAACTATATTCACTTCATTGGCGCCGTCTGTGGGACCTGTAAAAAAAGTCAAGCG